ATCCAGACTATCAGAAGTATCTTCAGTTTACTTTCAAGGGGCATCATTACCAATGGAGGGTCCTGCATAAACGCTGTCTTACAGGGGCCAGCTGCAGCTTCGCCCTCTTCAGATGTTTCTGTGCCCATACACATTCGGGACGACAACCCCAGGGAGTTGATTCGTCTTCCCGCACAACTACATTCAGTCATTCGTTGGTAGCTCAATGAGTGGAATGTTTGCGGTGGAGTCTCTATGGTGCCCTTCATACCGACTCAACACCTGTTCGTCGACTCTCAAGGACTGGGGTGCTCACTTTCTCCATCAAGTGGCCTAGCAGTGGTCATCAGGAGAAAGGGCCCATCATATCAACGAATTGGAATTCAGCACTCATTCTCGCCGTTCGGCATTGGGAAGTTGAACTACGGTCCTCTCATATACTGATTCAATCAGACATTTCAATGGTAGTTTGGTACATAAACCATCAGGGGTCGACAGGATCAGCAGCTCTGCTTCAGTTGATGTTTCGGAATTTATCATCTGATCGATTCACTCAACACAGTGGCCAAAGCCGACACATTCCCGGGATGAGGAATGTCATTGCCGATGCCCTGTCACGTCCCAAACCCCTTGTCACTCACTGAATGGAAACTACTGCCTCTGATATTCCAATCGATGATCTACCTGTTATCATGACCAGATGTAGACCTGTTCGCCACTCGGTACAACCATCAGCTTCAGCGCAGATGATCACCAGTTGTGATCTTTTCCGCTTTGTGTACAATCTGAATAAAATTCTGAATTTTATTTCTGATTTGTGTCTTCGATTCTTCCGGGACTTAGATTTCTCCCCTCAATTTTATTTGAGACTGTGGAGAGTCGCCACCTCACTTACTGTCGTCTGCTCTATGGAGTAATTACGTCAGTGAAGTGAGTCATTCCCAAAGTGTTACACTTCGTAGCGTTCATGCTCCTAAGTACCTATACACATCTATGTGATCTTACTGTGGTATTTAATGGAAGTCATAAGATGATGTTGTGGTACTGAATGTTAAAAGTGTGAGTTTTCCAATTCAATGACCCTTTCACCCTCCTCGGGACGGTGTCTATGGGGGTTGTTTCGAAGCAGAGGCTGGCCTGATACTAGTTACGGGGGTACCATGGAAATCGTGGTAATGCGACTGATTACACTCGCTAAGCTGCGTCCTCTCACTTTCGTGAAGGTAGTGGGACGTTATTTGATACAAACATTAACTGCCTGTGTTACGTCATCAGCATGCACGGTATCGACAGGTGAAAATGACACCTGAGCACACGCTCGGGCGAGGGGTCATCTCAATAGATGTTTTCTTCAAAATGTTGAATATGTGTACGTATAGTATACGTATTGGTTATGTACGGGATCATTTGTGTATGTGACTGACTGAGTTTGGTTTTACGCCGCTTTTAGCAACATTCCAGCAACATCACGGCGGGGGACACCAGAAATGGGCTTCACACATTGTGCCCATGTGGGGATTCGAACCCGGGTCTTCGGCGTGACGAGCAAACGCTTTAACCATTAGGCTACCCCACCGCCCCTAAAGGAATACTAGAAGCAACAGATTGTCTTAAAAGGAAACTATACAGCAACATATTATCCACACGACCCGGCCACTGATGTTGTCAGACATACCATTGTATGCAAACACTTTATCATGTCATAACGCAATCTGATAAACTTGGTATCCAAATCTGATAAATATGCAAATTAGGTCAATACACGAACTACTTACACAAAACTCCATACATGCCATGTGAATCCTAAAACATTGACATTTCATTAATGACGTTGCGAGTCTACTGGGGGTTTGTAAATAAACATGACTGCCCCCATTGTCAAAATTGGTGATTCTGTAAGAATTGATGACAGTGGTTCTGGAGTTGGTACTGCAGGAACTGACTTTGGAAAACATGAGACAGAGTACTTCATTCAAATTGAAGGTACAGATTATGAGGCACAAGTGAAAGGTGATCATCTGAGAAAGGTACCACCCAAGGATTTCAATCTATCTATCACAACAACAATATGACGTCCCCTCGTTATGAAATTGTGACCTAATTCAGTACTCTTTGTCTGATTCCAAAGAACCTGTTTCTGATGAATTACAAATTTTCTGTTGAAAACTGCCTGATTTTGTTATTCTTGTTAGACAGAAAGATCATATTTTAAGTAAGAGTTATGTTTGCACTATATTAACGACTTGCACAACCATATGCCGCCATCATGAACAACCTTCACCTTGGTGTATCGCAAAGTGTTCTTACTCGAATGCTCTATTCTCTTCATATATATTCATGTACAATTTGCTTCTTTTTCAAGAGTAATTTTAAGAATGTCATTATGTGATAAAGAGATTATTAATTTCTGTATGATTAATACCACACATTAGGAATAAAAAAATATGTATTATGCTCACCAAAGAGTTGCATAATACAAATTTCAGAGTTTTGAAAAGCAACTGCAAACTACATACTGAGACAAAAAAGGAAAAGCAAATTAATTTTCTTAATAACCTAGTAAAAGGTTATGATCTGCATAAAGAACAAGCAGTTGTCACTAAGGTGACATAATCCCCCGCTGCAAATTATCATATCAAACTTAAAAAGTAATGAAAGTGAAGGTTGCAGTTTAAGACAAAGTTAAATGTCAACAAAAGCACGACCTGTCAACCTGCATCTTCCCAAGAAGATGCTTTGTGTCAAATATGAAGAAAATACAGTGAATTGTTTGTGAGATGTCTCACTGACAAGGTGAACATGTAGGTTAACAAACTGAAATGTTCAATGTGTTGCTGTGACCTTGAAGAAAACATGAAAATCACCAAAATTGACTGGGCCCTGCGCCTTCCCTAGATGAAGCATGGTGTCAAATATGAAGAAAATCCATTGAATGGTTCTTGAGGTATCTCACTGACAAGCTTAAAATTCAGGTTAACATGCTGAAATCTTCAAAGTGTCGCTGTGACCTTGAAAACTAAGTGAAGGTCACCAAAATCGACTGGGCCCAGCGTCTTTCCTAGATGAAGCTTCGTGTAAAATTTGTAGAAAATCCAGAGAACGGTTCTTGAGATATCTCGCTAACAAGGGTAAAACGTTAAAAGTCCCCTTGTGACCTTGAAATGAAGGTCAAGGTCACCAAACCTGACTGGGACCTTTCGCATACTGTGATGAACCTAGGTACCACATATGAAAAGAATCTAGTCGACGGTTCTTATGATATTTCAATTCATATGTATGGACGTACGGACAGATCAAGCCCAATACTATATCCCCCTTTGACGCATATATATGGAAATTTTAATATAAATTGTATATATACTTATCCTACCTCATGATTTGCACTTCTTTCTCTTGCTTCAACGCTGAGTGGAACGAATGAGAACTTTTCCTGAAGGCCTCTCTTGTCCCTACTCCCATGTTCCCCAGGCTGCTCTATTTACAGGACAGGTCCCTAGTCCCTGGCTAAGCGTGCAGCACGTTGACCCACGTGACTACCTCAGAGTGATCATTCTCTTCTTGGAGCCAATGACAGTTATATGTAACTGTCGTAATCTGAGTAGAGGGGAGGCTGGGTGGGCATTCATCGTGTGAGATAGGATAAGTATATAAATATACAATTTATATTAAAATTTCCAAATTTTTAAATTTATCCTATCTCATGATTTGCATTTATCCCCTGGTTGGACGGCGGGTCGCTGATTACCCTAAGTCAGAAGGCACTGACATTATATATACTGTATAGGCTAATGACAACCGTAGATAGCAATGAACAAGGGAGCCGGATCTGACTAGCATAGTACTTATACTATAGTACTGTCGGAAATGCTAGAAAAATGCTTTTTTGCTTAAATATCTTTATAAAATTGCTTAAATATCTTTATAAAGGTGATAAATGTACTATGTTGTCAATATATCAACTTGCCTATAGTGTACCTAATTTTTATTTCAATCGATTTAACATTCCCATGCATTTAAAGGGCAGTTTACAGGAGAGAATTTGGTACCAAAACAACAACTTAAGATTTTTTCAGTTCAACAACAGAAATCTGAAATAGTCTTTAAATTTATGCTAATAATACAGGTGGTGTATAAATATGAATTAACGTTTTTCTTAAACAAATATATGTTGAATGTTTGTGTTACTTTACTTAGTTATCGTTTCTTTATTGGAGAAATATTAATATAAATGTTAAGTCTTGATAAATAAGTTTCCCGTCATGCATGCACATCTTTATCACAGCGTCCACTATGACCAACTATTTGCAGTCGATTGTTACAAAGGTTTATAAGTTTTTTTGTGCTTGAAAAAGACAGAGGTTAACCTTTCATTAGTTTAGAAAGGGTTTTTTACAGAACTTGTAGAGATGTTGGTATGTCTTACCAACAAGTTTACAATATTGTAAACAAATCAGACAAGACAGGGACCGTCTCAAAAGCAAAACCGGGACGTACAACCATCCATGACAACTTTGACAAGGGAGTACTTAGACGGGCGGTCTACAAACTTTAGAATAATAATAATGTATATATTCAAAAGAAGCTACACCAGTGACTTCATTAAATCTTTGGCCAATGTTCACAACTAGATTAAACTGACCGAATTACATCCATATTTTTGCAATGAAATATACTGTTGACATGCAAAACATTTATTAAAACGTTGCACATTTCTACAATCAATCGATAAGATAACACAAGTGATAGGATTCTTTCCAATGTACAGTACTTCGTATGTTTATTTCAAAACAAACACACATACACAAGGGGCGGTGGGGTAGCCTAATGGTTAAAGCGTTTGCTCGTCACGCCGAAGACCCGGGTTCGAATCCCCACATGGGCACAATGTGTGAAGCCCATTTCTGGTGTCCCCCGCCGTGATGTTGCTGGAATGTTGCTAAAAGCGGCGTAAAACCAAACTCAGTCAGTCAGTCAGTCTAGTATTCCTTCCCAACTGATCTTATTGACCTTCTTGTGTTCAGCTGCGGCAGCTGTTGATGAGATGTGGGAAGCTGCAGTACCTGGACCTGTCCTACACCCCCATCTCGGACGCAGCATTCAAAGGGTACGTATAGTCATCCTCCACTAAGTCAAGTGCATGAGCATCTGAGAGGCTGAACTTCATGGAAGTTTATATTGTCTGAAACATTTCCTGACACAACCAATCTGTTCAACATGTAGCCTCAGTCGAGTCCTGGCATACATTCATGACAATGTATTCCTATGGAAGAATAACAGTACATCACTTTCTGTAATAAAGAAGATGTTAAGCAATCTGTTGTTATCCTTCTTTACTGTTCCAACCTCTAAGTGTCCCTTTAAGAAGTTAATGTATTTTTATTATGCACTGCATTCTATGCAACAAACTAAAGTAATGAGATGTTGGAATGTTTCAGTCAAGGGACATTAAAGGATGCACCTTAATTTCTCTTGTAAATAACATGGGATATTCTTCACCGAGTCACCAGTGATGGTTTTGGATCGAGGAAATAATTCAGCAATACAGATCAATATGCTTATGAAATGCCTCACATATGAGGAAGTCTCAACTTAAAGGAGATTACTAGACAATTGCAATGTTTTGCTGGGTGAAAGATAAAGTCATCAGAAACATGTACACCAATTTTTAATTCAAACATATGGTTATTTATGTTTAATCGCGAAAACAGTTTCTGTTTTCTGAGCTTCGGCCATTATTCATATTCCGCTGGAACTCACGTGACCTTTCCACTCGTGACGTCATATGTGACTAGAGCCTGCCATATTGCCAAAGACCAAGTGCTACACTAATACAAATCGATGGTGTATTGCGTTGCCTGGGGATGCACGGCATCATCGAACAATGGAAAGAGACCCTATTTCTTCCGTTTTCCGAGTAAAAAGATTTAGGCAGGAGAAATGTTCTTATCCATTCGGGCACATACGAAAGAGACATGCACACATTGGTTATGAAACTCCCAAAAGCTAGGATGAAGAAGGAAGCAGTACCCATGAGATTCATTCCTTGTTAAACCTTACTGTCAGTGGTATTTCAACATAGATAAAATCAAGTGCGATTTTGATAAAATAGGGTACCAGTCGAATTGCCCCAGCTACAAAATGCCCCAGCAAATTTGGTCAAATTGCCCTGGATTTCTTGACAAATTGCCCCAGGGTGGTAGTCAAAATTCCCCAATTTATTTAAAATGATTAAATATAGGCCATAAATGCATAGTTTTTGTCAACTTTGATATCACGTCTTCATATATAAGTTATATATATATATATAGTTATGAGTTTGCTAAGGGAACATTTATCAGAATATCAGAAATATTACTTCCTAATAACCTTGATACTGGCTTGTAAAATTAGGGTCAGAACAGCTGGGACGTATTGAAAACATTTGGATCATAATGTGACTTGAATTTTGTCTTGACATAGAAAGCTGAAATTGTAGGTACATTATGTTGCTTTAGGTAGCATATCTGCACTCGACTTGGACATTTGTTGATACAGTCGTAAAGGTGAAAAACTTAGTTCCCATTACTGCTTCAATCAATTTGGATGATACTTTATGTGGATTTTTCTTGCTGTGTAATAATGTTCTGTTATGTTTCCAGATTAAAGATTGTATTTAACCAAATATTCTATCCATAAAATTGACCACTAAACACAGTCTTCATATCAGCAGCCCAACTTTCTGTACCTATGCATAACAAGCTCATCATATGAAACAATCTGTTCATTATGAAGATAAATGGTGAGTTATAGTGCCTTCAGAGTAGTACCCCTTGCCTTCAGCTATGTTTGGTACACGTTACATGTGTCTTCTGTCATTCTGATTCAGCCTCTCTGAAGGGTGCTGTTCCCAGCTGAGACACTTGGACTTGACAGGATGTGTGAACATTACGGACATCTCCCTCCAGCGACTGTCCCAGGCAATGACCTGCCCCCACACAGGCAGACAGCACAACCCTGTTTCATGTGACACGTTTGACATTCAGCATCTCTCACAACATACACAAGTACCAACTGGAACGCTGCCTTATTCTGAGATGAGGAAGTGGCTTATCTGTGATGCAGTGCTAGGAGATTTGTTTGAGCGTAGTCAAAAGTGTTCTTCAGAAACTTGCTGTGGTACAGAGAAACCAAAGACATTTGAGCAAAATCTGAAGTCTGTCCAAGTTTCACAGGCCACTCTCACTCATTGCAGTAGCTCTGACATCAGACAATTAGTAAATCAAGTCAGACAGCATTTTGTTTGTAACAAAAGCCTGACCAGCAGTGTTTGCGAGCAGTGTGAGAACAGAACTGGCCTAGAGTACCTGAGTTTGTCGGGCTGCTACCAGATCACGGACGTTGGCCTCAGGTAGGCATCTCACATCTCTTGCACTGAAAGTCACTGTTGCTAGGACTTGGTTTTACACAGTGAATGCCATCCAAACTGATTATGTTAGTTAAATGGAAATTAAGGGGACTATCAAAGTATGAAATTGTCCACAGTAGAAAACCAGTGGGATGTCTTATTCAATAAAACTATTTGCTATTTGTTTCACCTGCCTGTGGCAATGGCATTATTAATCCAGTAGAACATATCTCTCACATGAGTTATTCTCTCTCCTTTAACATGTTTTAATATATGTAACTCTTATGTATCAGTATCATCCAAACATTTTACAGTTTGAGCTTCTCATAACGACCAATTAGGCATTTAGCCAATTCCCAAACAAAATATGGTTTTCATTTAAAGAAGGAAGCTTAGGGCATCTGTTTCAATTTTTGTACTGTAATTAGTCATTGTTGTCCACACTTGTATACTTACAGACCACCATCATGATTATCATATAGCTTAATAGTCACCAAAATGATTACATTACTTCAATATCACCCAGTCTTTGTAACTATGTAACAAGGTCCCCAGCATTCTGTTTCTCGTTGCAATAGTCAGTGAGAGTGGATTGTGTGGTCAGACTAGGTGACCAGACGGAGGACATGGATTGGTGCTCATGCTCTCTGTCAATTGTGTGCCTGGCGTATATGGACAGGCCATTATGATGTTGCTGGAATATTTTTGACTGCAGCATTGAACTTTCAACACCATTTTTTCTCTCAGTCTACCTGTGAAGATCCAGGTTGGAATTGGTTTCAGCAACCCATGATTGTTGTAAGAGACAACTAACTGGATCTTGTGGTCAGACTCGCTGACTTGGTTGACACATGTCATCGTATCCCAATTACACAAATGTACCTCGATTGATGCTCATGCTGTTGATTACAGACTGCTGCCATATAGCTGGAACATTGCTGAGTGCAGCATTAAACAACAAACAAACAAATCTCTCAGGCTTTGGGTGTGTCTCCGTGAAGACCTTTAATTCTTTTGAAATGTTTTAGCCCTTTACTTTCAAATGTTTAGTTGTTAGACTTTGATGTGTGAATTTGAAATAGTAGCTTCTTTTTCTTAAAAACAGAGCATTGTCTGAAGAGAAGTGTGTGCGGTCACTTGCTTTCCTGGATTTATCGGGATGTGTTGGCATTCGTGCTCGTGGCCTGTCAGACATGGTGAGTGCATGTCAGCACCTGGATCATGCACAGCTCTTCTACTGTGACAATATCGCTGATGACCCGTTTGCCAAGTCAGCCAGTGGATGCCAGAATCTGGGATGTTCTTCTCGCTTCTGCTGCCGTCTGGGTTATTAAAGGTACTTGCTGTTTTATTGTCTTCTACAGATTGTTATCCCCTGTCCAACAAAGTTGGTGAGGATATAGAAGTTGGCACGGTCTGTCCAACGCTGTCCATCATGCAGATCTGGAACACTGTGATAACTACATGTCAGCATATTCTACAACCTAACTGTCAGAGATACTAACTATATGTCAGCATATTCTACAACCTAACTGTCAGAGATACTAACTACTTGTCAGCATATTCTACAGCCTGTCAGAGATACTAACTATATGTCAGCATATTGTATAGCCTAACTGTCAGAGATACTAACTACATGTCAGCATATTCTACAGCCTAACTGTCAGAGATACTCACTACATGTCAGCATATTCTACAGCCTAACTGTCAGAGATACTAACTACTTGTCAGCATATTCTACAGCCCAACTGTCAGAGATACTAACTGTATGTCAGCATATTCTACAACCTAACTGTCAGAGATACTAACTACTTGTCAGCATATCCTACATCCCAACTGTCAGAGCTACTAATTACATGTCAGCATATTCTACAGCCTAACTGTCAGAGATACTAACTACATGTCAGCATATTCTACAACCTAACTGTCAGTGATACTAATTACATGTCAGCATATTCTACAGCCTAACTGTCAGAGATACTAACTACATGTCAGCATATTCTACAACCTAACTGTCAGTGATACTAACTACTTGTCAGCATATTCTACAACCTAACTGTCAGAGATACTAACTATATGTCAGCATATTCTACAACCTAACTGTCAGAGATACTCACTACTTGTCAGCATATTCTACAGCCTAACTGTCAGAGATACTAACTACATGTCAGCATATTCTACAGCCTAACTGTCAGAGATACTAACTACATGTCAGCATATTCTACAACCTAACTGTCAGAGATACTCACTACATGTCAGCATATTCTACAACCTAACTGTCAGAGATACTAACTACTTGTCAGCATATTCTACAGCCTAACTGTCAGAGATACTAACTACTTGTCAGCATATTCTACAGCCCAACTGTCAGAGATACTAACTACATGTCAGCATATTCTACAGCCCAACTGTCAGAGATACTAACTACATGTCAGCATAGTCTACAGCCTAACTGTCATAAATACTAACTACTTGTCAGCATATTCTACAGCCTAACTGTCAGAGATACTAACTACATGTCAGCATATTTCTACAACCTAACTGTCAGGAGATACTAACTACATGTCAGCATATTCTACAGCCTAACTGTCAGAGATACTCACTACATGTCAGCATATTCTACAGCCTAACTGTCAGAGATACTAACTACATGTCAGCATATTCTACATAACTGTCAGAGATACTAGCATATTCTACAGCCTAACTGTCAGAGATACTAACTACATGTCAGCATATTCTACAGCCTAACTGTCAGAGATACTAACTACTTGTCAGCATATTCTACAGCCTAACTGTCAGAGCATATTCTACAGCCTAACTGTCAGAGATACTAACTACATGTCAGCATATTCTACAACCTAACTGTCAGAGATACTAACTGTCAGCATATTCTACAGCCTAACTGTCAGAGATACTAGTCATATTCTACAACCTAACTGTCAGTCATATTCTACAGCCCTAACTGTCAGAAATACTAACTACATGCTGTCAGAGATACTCACTACATGTCAGCATATTCTACAGCCTGTCAGAGATAACTGTCAGCCTAACTGAGAGATACTACTACTGTCACATGTTCAGCATATTCTACAGCCTACAGCTGTCAGAGATACTACTAACTAACTGTCAGATGTCAGCATATTCTACAACCTAACTGTCAGAGATACTAACTACATGTCAGCATATTCTACAACCTAACTGTCAGAGATACTAACTGTCAGCATATTCTACAGCATATTCAGCCCAACTGTCAGGATACTAACTACCTAACAACCTGTCAGAGATACTAACTACATGTCAGCATATTCTACAGCCCAACTGTCAGAGATACTAACTATATGTCAGCATATTCTACAGCCTAACTGTCAGATACTAACTACTAACTACATGTCAGCATATTCAGCATATTCTACAACCTAACTGTCAGAGATACTAACTACATGTCAGCATATTCTACAACCTAACTGTCAGAGATACTCACTACATGTCAGCATAACTATTCTACAGCCTAACTGTCAGAGTCATAGATACTATACATGTCTATTCTACAACCTAACTGTCAGAGATACTCACTACATGTCAGCATATTCTACAGCCTAACTGTCAGAGATACTAACTACATGTCAGCATATTCTACAGCCTAACTGTCAGAGATACTAACTACATGTCAGCATATTCTACAACCTAACTGTACACCTATATGTCAGATATTCTACAGCCTAACTGTCAGAGAGATACTCAACTACTTGTCAGCATATTCTACAGCCTAACTGTCAGAGATACTGACTACATGTCAGCATATTCTACAGCCTAACTGTCAGAGATACTAACTACTTGTCAGCATATTCTACAGCCTAACTGTCAGAGATACTAACTACATGTCAGCATATTCTACAACCTAACTGTCAGAGATACTCACTACATGTCAGCATATTCTACAGCCTAACTGTCAGAGATACTCACTACATGTCAGCATATTCTACAGCCTAACTGTCAGAGATACTCACTATATGTCAGCATATTCTACAACCTAACTGTCAGAGATACTCACTACATGTCAGCATATTCTATAACTGTCAGAAATACTACAGTTTGATACCTTCCGAGATGCAGAAAACTCACTGATGCAAATAAAAGAGATGAGTTCCTTCAGCCATTGTTGTTTGAATCAGCCAAAGGTAGTATCGATCCCACATGTCAACATTCACCATGTGTAAGCCAAGTGTCTAGCTAGCTTATAGGGATAAGTTACATGTCATAACAACACAGGTTGCCTGTGGGGTATGATTCAGAGAGTAATGTCTCCTCCTTTGTAGACTGTATACTGGACGTGCAGTAGGAGGGGCCTGATTCAGCAGGCCATACCTCTACCAAAAGAGGAAAACTTTACCTCTCTGCCATATCCCACCATCCAAAAAGTATTCATTACACAGGTAGTAGGTAGCAGTTTTAGCTAGCCATACCTCTACCAAAGGAAGAAAACTTTACCTCTCTGCCATATCCCACCATACAAACAGTATTCATTCTACAGGTAGCAGGTTGAGCTAGCCATACCTCTACCAAAGGAAGAAAACTTTACCTCTCTGCCATAGCCATCCAAAAAATTTTCATTACACATGTAATACGTGGCAGGTTGAGCTAGCCATACCTCTACCAAAGGAAGAAAACTTTACCTCTCTGCCATATCCCACTGTCCAAAATGTATTCATTCCACAGGTAGCATGTTGAGCTAGCCATATCCTGGTGTCAGGGGTTTTCGACGATGTAAGACAAAAATGTATTTTTTATCTGTAATATCATTTAAAGTTTGTAAGTTTTCCTTATCCTGACTCATGCTCTTTTGCTTGTCTTCTTCTTCTTGCGAACATAGTAGAACACTTGTATCTCCTTAATTGAAGCTCCCTTCAATGTAAAATCACTAATGAGTACTCACCAAGAGTTGCCTCCCTTTGCCCTTGCGCGGGAAAGGCGGCGCCACCTTCTGGCCTCATGCTTCACTCTCTCCTTCTTCGCCCAGTGAGCAGGATGTGAGAGCGCCTGTGTCTCCTTACACACTAAATCCTTTGGTTATTCTTAGTTAGTTACCTCTTATAGGTTACTATAGAGGTGTAACTAGTATCCTTCATTAATATGTATTGATAATTATTCGTATTTCTACTGTTTATTCACGGGATTTCGTGATTGTTCAGCTAGTTTACGTTGATGAAAATCTGTACTAATTGTAGATTATGTTTTTCTGCTGCTGACCCGCATTTAATATGCCCTAGCTGTACTACGCCTTGTGCATTTGCTTCACGTTGCAGTTACTATATTAATCTATCTAATTCTGCTTTTAATAAATATCATCTTTGTGTCTTGAGACGTGCAGCAGATAGGTCACGCAAACAAGGTTTAGACATGGCCGATACATCGGAACCCCTAGCCAGTCAGCTGCTGTCGGACGACCCCCTCCCGTCTGGTGTTCCGCTAGAGTTTCCCTCGGAGGAGAGGCGTGGGATGCAGTCCGCCCTCTCTCAAGAAGCGTCCTGCTTCCCCAGACATCCCGTCATCGCAGCCAAAGTCTAAGAGGGCCTCGACATCTACTCAACGCAGACTCCGTACCCCCAGGGCAGCGTCTACCTCCAAGAGAAAGTCTACGAAGTCTTCAAGAACCTTCTCAGCCGAGATTGTTCCAGCCGCTGAACTGGGCCTCTACGATGATCAGCCGATCATCATTCCCGATCTACGCCACAAGAGACGACCGGTGTCGGCAACAGTTACGTCAGCACAGATCGCCATGCAGCCTGATGTGTCTACACCGATGTCGGACGATCTTCCTGAGGGCCTTCGCGAAGGCTCCAACATAGACGACATCCCAGAGGGACCCCCCGTCAACGTAACGGCCACGACTAAGCCACCTCCGTGAAGGAAGTCACAGACCACCTCGACGAAGGACCCAGATGTACAGCCTTCGCGAAGGCTTTATAGATCATCACCTACCTCGGCTTCATCCTTAGGTTCGGACTCGGACCACCAGACTTCACGGAAGCCTTCGCTAAGGTCAAGTCGTCGCTCCCCAGGACCGGACGCAGAGGAAGCTTCGCGAAGGTCTTCGCGAAGGGCACCATTAACAGGCTCTAAATCATCTTCGTCCAGAAGGACATCGAGGGATTCCACAAGAGCTTCGCGAAGCTATCAACATTCACCTCACAGATCTCCGCTAAGGTCAACCTTTAGACGCAGCTCGTCAGGCCGTTCACCTAGACGATCCCCTCGCCATTCTCCATGCCGATCACCTCGCCGTTCACCTCGCCGATCTCCTCGTAGATCACCACGTCGATCTCCTCACAGGTCACCACACAAGTCTTCACGGAAGTCCCCAGTCAGGTCTCCTTTAACGTCACCCTGTACAGTGGTAGAAGCACATAGCCCACCATCAGAAGAGCATCAACCTCTTATCAGCGATCCCGTTGTAGAAGATGATGGAGGCATCATTTTCTCAGACGCTGAGATACGTTATTGGATGGTTAACAACCTAGACCTTTCTTCACCTTCCAAGAGTGGTAACTCGGCGCATACTTACTTGATGAAGGAAGACGATGCAGACGCCATCACCTTACCTCCGATCGACCCGATTGCTGCGCGGTGCCACAGAATTTGGACACAGCCTTCCATAAAGCCAATGAAAGTTCAAACGCCACACTTACCGCTTTCACGCTTAAGAAGTTTTCAACCCATAATATGGACCCCTTCCTCAAGGCACAAGACATCGATGATAATTACAAAGTGATCAACGATGTCAAGAATAAGAACTATAAGATTGACGATCGCAAGCTGGTTCAGATAGAAACCATGACAAGGCGTATGTTCTTTGGCCTTAATAGATCTAGAACGATCAATGAGACTCTTATCACCAGATTTCGCGGACACGACTTCTGAAGATGATAGAATGATCTACTCGGCACTACTTATGCAGAAAAAGGACCAGCAGTTCCTAACGGATCATCTCACATCAGTCTCAGCAGCGCTAACCTTAGCTCGTCGTCAAGGCCTCCTCGCTTCCTGCAGCTGGGGTGAGCAGTTTACAGCTCCACTCTATACAGCCCCGTGGTCCTCACCATCCATCTTTGACGGAGGAATAGAGAAAGTCTCCAAGGAAGTCACTAAGGATTCTAGAGAAGTCCTTATGATAAAGTCGATGGACACGCTTGCCAGCGTCATCAGGCAGACTTCACAAAGATATTCAGGGAAATCTAAATTCACTGGATTACAGAGAGCACGGGATAGGAAGATGGCCAGCTTCAGGGGAAAGATTCTTTTTGTCGCCCATATGGCAACTACAGAGGAGGATCAGGAAGAGGCAGGGCACCCAGAGGTTCCCGCAACTATAAACGATGAAAGACAGGTTCGGAACGACTGGAGTCTTCCACCCCCAGCCGTTCCAGTACAACCGTCACAAGTGGGTGGACGCCTTCAACTGCACTGGGAGAACTGGGGAATGTTACAAGACCCATATGTCTCCAACATCCTTCAACACGGATATCGTATCCAACTACAGGCCACGCCTCCGCTGACAGTCAACCCTCACAAGTTCGACTTCTAGGCACAACAACTACCAAAGTTAAGAGAGGCTGTTACTTCTCTCCTAACCAAGCAGGCCATAGAAGTACTAGATCAAGTAAACGTCGAAGCAGGCTTCTACTCCCCAGTTTTCCTAGTACCCAAGAAAAACTCCAAGGAGAAATACAGACTCATTTACAACATGAGCACATTCAACAGAGATTATCTACGCAAACCGCCAACGTTTCGCATGATACATCTACCTCAATTACGGCAGTTAATTCGTCCCATGGATTACATGGCCAGTATAGATCTGCAAGACGCGTATCTACACATCCCGATACATCCCGAATCCAGGAAATACCTACGATTTACACTAGACGGGCTGCATTACCAATGGAAAGTACTCCCATTCGGAATATCATCGGCCCCCTGGTTATTCACAAGAGTAACAAAACCTATCGTCACCTACCTACATAGTCTAGGGCTGCGCAGTGCGTTTTACCTCGACGACGGGATACAAATAGATCAAGATCCACAGCATCTCAAACTACAGTTAAACTACATCATCAAGCTACTAACACAGCTAGGATGGTTAGTAAATTTACTCAAGTCGGACCTAGTACCCTCGCAAGATCTGCAATTTCTAGGCATTCGATTTATCACGACTCTCAACCGTATCGTCGTACCAGAAGACCGATAGCTCAAGATCCAACAGACCATTCCTCTAGCCCTACTCTCTCCGTTACCACTACGACATTGGCAGAGCCTGTTGGGTCTCCTCACGTCAGCCCAAGACATGACAGTCAGAGGCAGACTACAGTTA